TGACCAAAAATATACTTTTGATTTATTCACACCAATGACTATTGTGTTGGCTGTTGTCATATTATTATTAGACAATCCAAAGCAAATGAAGTCAGGTACTGCATTTGAAAAATTCTTGCGGTGCCGAAACCGGTTTGGCTCAGTGGTAGAGCGTTGGTCTGTGGACTGAAAGGTCCCAGGTTCGATTCCGGTCAGGGGCATGTATGTTGGTTGGGGGCACATCCCCGGTAGGGGGTGTGCAAGAGGCAGCTGGTCGGTGTTTCTCTCTCATCGATGTTTCTAGCTCTCTATCTCTCTCCCTTCCTCTCTGTAAAAAATCAATAAAATATATTTTTTAAAAAAATTCTTGAGGCACACCAGTTGAAAATAGCTGGAATAGGAAACAGGGTTCAAAGTGACAGTGGCAACAAAAGAGACATCCACCCAAATGTTACACTCCTGGTCACCCCAGCTGAAACTTTTGCTGTCTTCAAGGCGCTGTCTTGAAGAGGAGGCAGGTTCAGAGATGAGCGGCCATCAGACAAAACCAAGTGTGGGATGGAGATCACCGTGGTCAGAGGGATTTCCACTGCGTCCGGGTTAAAAACTGTTTCTTTCTAAGCATAGGCTGAGAAATGGGCTTTTAAACATTTGTTTTCACATAACCTGTTTCAGCATCTAGTATACTCCTAAGAGACTAGTCACAGAATAACTACTGCTACAACAAGTAAGTTCTTTCGTGGAAAAAAGTTTTTGGTTAAAATTATTTTGTTGGATTTTTGCCCCTATAACAATACCCCTATAATAAATCTTATTCACTCTGGGTCATCTTCTAGTTCTGTGTTGCTGTTTTGTTTTGTTTTTTTGTTTTTGGTGGGGAGAAGGGTGAAAGGGAATCTTATCTTTCTCCATTGCTGTTATCAGCTATGTGTAGACACATTCCTGGTTTATATATCAGGCCTGAACTTCTCCTCTGAGCTCCAGTAGCCTAATTTCAAAAGCCTGCTTGACATTCCCCCTTGAATATTGTAAAGGTATGTAAACCAACAAGTCTGAAATGAAACAGATGCCCTTTGTTCCCAAATCTGGGTTTTTCCAGTATCCTTACCTCACTCAGCATATTGCCCCTCCCCCACCCTCCCATTTCCAGAAGCCAGAGACCTAGGAGCTCTCTTGGAAAATCCCCTTTCCCTCACCGTGAATGTCCAAGCCATCACCTGGTTCTGTCAGTGTTGTTACTTAAATATCTCCAGAATCTGTCACCTGCTGCATCTCCACTCAGACCCCCTTAATCCGACCCAGCATCCTCTCCAGCCTGGACTCCTGCACTGCCTGCCAGATGGCTCCCCAGCGCCCACCCACTGCCTCCGGTCAAACTGCCACTCCACAGTCACCATCACCCTCTATAAATGCAAGTCTGATTGTGGCCTGGACATTGTGCACACGCTCTGTAACTTCTCTTACAGAAGTGTGTTTCTTCCCTTTAGAGCTCTCCACTCCGTGTGTGGTTATATACGTACTCCTCAGTAGAATGATCCTCCCAACACTGTTAAACTACCTCTAAAGAGACTGTTGGATTCTCTGTTATTTCTTTTTTTTTAAAATATATATTTTATTGATTTCTTACAGAGAGGAAGGGAAAGAGATAGAGAGCTAGAAACGTCAATGAGAGAGAAACATCGACCAGCTGCCTCTTGCACACCCCCTAACGGGGATGTGCCCACAACCAACGTACATGCCCTTGGCCGGAATCGAACCTGGAACCTTTTAGTCCGCAGGCTGATGCTCTACCGCTGAGCCAAACCGGTTTCGGCGGATTCTCTATTATTTCAATCTCGGTGCCAGGCAAGTGAATGAAGGGTCACTCATTTGTATATGGCATTTAGAAATGGCATCCCTTTAAATATCCATTCAACTCACTGGAAGAATTAAATCCCAGTTCTCTCATTCTAAGACCACTTTGAGGTGGAAAGGACAGGGCTGACTTTCACTGAGGAGCAGAGTGACAACAGGGTCATTCCTGCTGAGTGTTAAGCCAGGACCAGAGTGTGGTGCTTTGGATTCTGAGCCTTGTTCTCCTTCCCTTACAACCCACTCCTTCACCACAACAAGCTTCATCAGTTACTCCGTCCTCAACACTGCAGAGCATGGGAAGGACATGTAAACACCATGATGAAGATCTGCCCGGCCAGCGTGGCTCAGTGGTGGAATGTCCACCTATGAACCAGGAGGTCGCAGTTCCATTCCCAGACAGGACATGTGCCAGGGTTGCAGGCTCACAGGAGATGGGTGTGCAGGAGGCAGCTAATCAATTGTTCTCTCTCATCACTGATGTTTGGATCTCTCTTCTCCTTCTCCCTTCCTCTCTGAAATCAATAAAAAATATATATTTTTTAAAATGACAGAAAATCACCCTAGCTGGTTTGGCTCAGTGGATAGAGTGTTGATCTGTGGACTGAATGGTCCCAATCAAGAGTACATGCCCAGGTTGCCAGTTCACTCCCCATTAGGGGACATGTAGAAGGCAGCTGATCAATACTTCTCTCTCATCATTGATGTTTCTCTCCCTCTCTCCCTCTTCCTTCCTCTCTGAAATCAATAAATATATATTAAAAAAGAAAATCCAATGCACAGTGAATTCTAAAGTGAATCCTCCATGTCAATCATGAAGAGCTGCTCTCTACTCCCAGTGAGCAGGGTTTCCCGGGCCAGCATAAAGCATCGCATTGCATACAGCCCTCCACATGGAAGACCCTGACTTTGTTCTGGCACAAAGTTAGCATGTGACCTTGAGCATGCTGGGGCTATCTCGGAGCCCTCCTGCTTTATTTGCAAAAGGAAGATACCCGTCACTTATCTGCCTACCTCACAGGATTATGGTCAGGATTAAATTGAATGATGCTCATGAAAGTGTTTTTACTCCTCTCATTTGAACTCCCGCAGCCTTTCTATGTAGCACTTCTAGCAAATATCTTTTACTTTGTATGGTACAGTGAGGAGATCACTGGACTGGAAATCTGGCATTTAAATCCTGCTTTTAGTATTTACTAGTTATGTAGCTCTTCGGGCAATTTTTTTTGAGACTTTCTGAACAGAGCAAGGCATGCTCATCTGTAATATGAAGATGATCATTCCTGCTTTATCCAAGGATAAATGGGCTAATGTTTGTGAATGTGATAAAGTTCTTTCTAATTATGAACTGGAGAATATCTGCATTCCACTGAAGTTCATTTTTCACCTACACCATGGTTTGTACATGGCACTGCTAACAAGAATGGAGTGCTGATGGGACACCAGAAGATGGGCATCCCAACCTTACATGTTGAGTCAATTATGATCCCAAGTGAGGGATGCAAGGCACTAGTAATTGGCCCAAGGCCACACAGCTAGTAAAATTCTGAGCCAGGATTGAAACCCATGCAATTCAATTCCAGAGCCACACAGCCTTAACCTTTCGGTAACACTGCCCCACACTCTATAAGTAACTTTAGATCCCTAAGTAGGCAGTATGATACTCTATGCATGGATTTAAAAGTTTGCTCCTGTAAATGTTATATGATAATAATTGATGCAAATAAAGTAAGCCACCAAGTCAGAAAATTCTTAGAAATAAGCCTACAGAGGAAATTCACGTCATAACTCTAAAAATATATATCAAGAGAGCTTGGCTCTTTTCCAGATTGATCAGTTAGGAGGAAGTTAGGCAGCATTGAGAGCGCCTGCTTTAAATTCAGGCCTGTATTAAGTCCTGGTCCCTCCACTTGCTAGCTATATCCCAGAGATGCAAACTTCTTCCTGAAGGGGGATGTTTCTGTTGTGAGAATTCGGTACTGCTGTCAGATGCTCAGTCTGGTACCCGGCACAGTAAGTGCCTGCTCCTGTTATCCATGCTTCCTCTGTGGGCTTGGACATGTGATTTCAGCCTCCCCAAAGCATCCGTCTCTAAGTGTTCAAGTAGAAGGAAGTTCAAGTAGAAGGAGTCAAAAGATCTCTTTCAAGTCGAATGATTTTTAGGTGCTAAGGGGGGATAGATGTATATCTCTGAAGCCATTGTATCTTGTGAATTCTGACTTTCAGGATCTAAAATTATTCTACTCTCTGATTTATGGAGTGAAGGCACCGAGGTGGATGAATGAAAGAATGTTTACTATGGCACTTGCATTTATTGCCACAATTAACTAATCGGGCAGATTAATGATAATCTGAGCTAGAATAATTTGCCTGACAAAGTCATTGCTAATCTGAGGCAAATGTTCAGTCCACAACCTTTATGAAGTTATTGTGTTAAGGAGTTAAACAAATATGAGCAAAAAAGCATCAAAGCTCAGAAACAGGTGGTTGAGCATCATCCCATATACCAAGAGGTCACTGGTTTGATTCCTGGTCAGGGTACTTGACCAGGTTTTGGGTTTGATTCCCTATAGGGGACACAAAGAAGGCTGCTGATCAGTGTTTCTCTCTCACATCCTTGTTTCTCTCTCTTTCTCTCCCTTCCTCTTTCTCTAAAATCAATTTTTAAAAAACATCCTATATAATAAAATGCTAATATGCAAATCAACTGTATGGTGGAATGTCCAGTTGGTATGACATGCACTAACCACCAGGAGGCAGATGCTCAATGCAGGAGATGTTTCCTGGTGATCAGTGCACTCCCACAGGGTGCTCAGCCAGAAATCCTGAGCTGGGCTCACAGCTAGCGAGCACAGCGGTGGTGGCGGGAGCCTCTCCTGACTCTGGCAGTGCTAAAACTGTCAGTCAGACATCCCCCAGAGGACTCCTGGACTGCAAGAGGCACAGGCTGGGATGAGGGAACTCCCCCTGAGTGCACAAATTTCATGCACTGGGTCTTTAGTGTTTTATGGGCAAAGGAGTCATAAAGTCTTCATTTAGTAATGAGAGAAGGACACAGAGTAGATTCCACAGGTCTCTGAGGTCCCTGCCAAGAATGCCCGCTGCCAGTGCCCCACAGTGTACCGCTAAAGAGAGGGATGGCTAAGCTGGGCTCTACTGGTAGCGCCTACCTGTTGTCACCTTCTCTGGAGAAAAAGACAGTGAAGGTTTGAATGTTCCCTTTTGCTTCTGCGGGTGGGCGCCAGCTGAGACGGATGAACCGACTGGAAACCAAGACAGGAACCACATCTCTGGGAGCAGAAGGGAGCACACTGGAGCTTGGGATTGCTGAGGAGAAAGGAGAGGAAGCAGTCAGAGGTGTTGATGCCACAGGCGGGCAAAGGGCAGGGAAGCAAAGCAGACCCAACAGCAAACACAGAATGGCACATCATGCAGATGCTGCGGAAATGAAGACAAAACAGGAAAGCAAAGAGACAGTAAATGGAACTAAAGGCATAACAGGAGTCCTTGGAGTTTATGAAAGGGTAGCTAATTAATTGCATCTGTAATTTAATTCATATTTTTCCAGTTTGTAGTAATCATGAGATCAATGACAATAAGAATAAATGCCCTATTGAAGTATGAAATAGGGAAACATGACCATGGACATGCACATATTGATAAATGCCTCAGGTAACCAAATAGTTATAACAGAACCTCATTCCTCTCAGAGCCTGTTTACACTTTTTTTTTTTTTTGTATAATTTGAGGAGCTTTCCTATCATTTCCTAAGACCACAGAAAACTTAAAGAAGTAAATTAAAATTGATGAAAGCTAACAAAAAGTAGAAACCATTCTCATGAACTACCTGCTAGCAAGAGAAATGCCAAAAATAAAATAAAAAATCACATAAAGATAGGCAACTGCACCTATCAAAATTCTCAAAATCTGACAATTGTTATTCATAGGAAGAACTCAATCATTCACAATTGCAAAATTGTTTTTTTAAACTTTTGGGGCATTCCTAACCTGTATTAGAAGTGTTTGATTGTGTGTGTGTGTGTGTGTGTGTGTGTGTGTGTGTGTGAATTCATAATTCACCTTTGCTGGAAAGATATTTTCTTCTTATGTGTTCAAGTCCCCAGGTCTGGGGAATGTGAGTTTCATTTTGAAGGTGAGTTCTGTCCCCACAAGAACCCATGTGCCTACATTTAATCTTCAAACTGGCCTCTGTGCTCCATTTGTACCCAGTTCTTACGAAAGGTAGTCTCCTTTCTTGCATTCTCTCTCTCCTCGGGCCCGGTGCTGGGAACTGCACGCCAGTTAGCTAGAAATCCCATTTGAGGGTCAGGGGCCATCTCATTTCCCAGTGGTTCAAGAAATATTATCAATTTACAATACATACCAGTGCTACAAAGGGAGAGGTTTTAGAGAACTGCAGAAAGCTTTCAAAGTAATTTCTGGCTCTGCAGATTCTCAGCCCACGTCTTCATGGATAGAACTTCCCCTTGCTTTCTTGATCAGCACAGAATTTGAAATAAATGGGAGACTGGCAAGAGCATCGCCAATCTTCTGTGGCAGAGTGGAGAGGAGAGGGTGGGAGGCTGATGCCCAGATAGGTAGCACCTCTGTCCAGAACATGGGTTATAGTAACCCTCTTGACAAAAGCCTTTACTTGCATCCTCCATGGACAGTGCCAACCAGCACCATGAAGGGAATGCATTCCTTTCTCCAGCTCACTGCCTGCTTCCCCTCCAAGGCTGCTAAACTCACTCACGTCTACACTGTCCTCTCAACTGTACAGCCCGAAACACCAATGGTGGCTCCCATTCCCGACTCTCTCCCATTCGCCCCTTTGGGGATACCCACTCCTGGACAGCTCACTTTATCTGCACGGTCACACATCCACACCATCACGCTCCCCTCCCAGAACTGTCATGCTCTCTTCCAGCTCCTCTGCTTCCCCTGCCACTCGCCTCCCGCGGGGGTATTCTCGGTGCAGCATCCAGAATAAGCTGGTAAAGGACACATCTGGCCCTACTACTCCACCATTTATTACCCTCCAGGTCTACTCTTTCCCTTAGAAACTCCAGACTTCTCAGCCTGCCTGCGGGTCTGGCTCCTGTTGATCACTTTTCTTGGTTTGCTTCCTCCACAAAGAGAGAGTGTTAGAAAAGGACTCAAGTGTAAACGCTTTACTTGGAAGGTGATCTCAGGAGACACCCTCGAGGAGTGGGAGAGTGAGACAGCAGGGAGTGAGCTGATAGTTGTTGCTGTAGGAAACTGAAGGGAGTCCCCCTGGGGACTCTGGGAATCAGGGTGCCACAAGCCTCTGAGCGATTCACTTCTGAAGGAAGCAGGAGGGGGTATGGATCTACCATCCTATTCTCCTCCACTCATTGAGGATGATTCCCAGGGAGTTGGCACTCCTGAATGGTAGCCTAGTGCATTCCTATCACTGCAAAAATGCCACCTTTGGGCAAAGGCGTGTGGCTATCCCAGCAAGCAGTGATCATTGGCTCTATTCACTCACCAAGTACTCTAGGCCAGTGGTCAGCAAACTTGTTAGTCAACAGAGCCAGATATCAACAAAGACAACGATTGAAATTTCTTTGGAGAGCCAAATTTTTTAAACTTAAACTTCTTCTAAAGCCACTTCTTCAAAATAGACTCGCTCAGACCGTGGTATTAGTGGAAGAGCCACACTCAAGGGGCCAAACAGCCACATGTAGTTTGTGAGCCATAGTTTGCTGACCACTGTTCTAGAGCATCTATCCTATGTCAGCCCTTCTCCAGGCCCGAGAGAGAGCATCCTCGGCAGCTTCCGTGGAGACTCCTGGCTCTTTAGTGAGCTCCGTGGCAGAGTGAGAGGGCAGAGTCGGAGGTGCATGCTGAGCCAAGGGCAGTTCCTAGGGACATGGCACAGGCAGCTCCCACCCTTGAGAAACCCACCTCACCCTCTTAATGCCCACTTTCCTCTTGACTTAGGTGCCTGTCCTTTGGTAAGATGGACCCAACGCATTCACAAAATATGCATCTACCAGGTACTGATTCATATCTATAAAATTAAAAAAGAATGTCTAAAAATTTATAACATAATGAGGAATCTTATTTTAAAATAAGGTTCAACCTAACAAATAAATGTTGAATTAAAATCAAATCTAAAAATGTCTGTCTGAATAAAGTCTATTGAAACAATCTGTCTGTACTCAGTCAGTGTGGCTCAGAGGTTGAGCATCAACCTATGAACCAGAGGGTCATGGTTTGATTCCAGGTTAGGGCACATGCCCTAGTTTCATAGATCCCCAGGGCGTGCAGGAGGCAGCTGATCAACCATCAGTGATTTTTCTATTTCCCTCTCCCTCTCCATTCCTCTATGAAATCAATAAAAAATATTTAAAAAATAAAACAATCTGAGCAGCAAGACTTTAGAGAGTGTTACTACCTAGTTTTGGCCATGGAGTTCCACTACCTTATGCTCTCAGCTGAAGCCTATGAAAGTACAGACTTCAGAAGTCAATTTGTTGAAATTCTTTTTGTGTGTGTGTGTGTGTTTATTTTTAAATTTAATTTAATTTTTAATATATTTTATTGATTTTTTACAGAGAGGAAGGGAGAGAGATAGAGAGCTAGAAACATTGATGAGAGAGAAACATCAACCAGCTGCCTCTTGCACACCCCCTACCGGGGATGTGCCCGCAACCAACTTACATGCCCCTGCCTGGAATCGAACCTGGGACCTTTCAGTCCACAGACCGACGCTCTACCACTGAGCCAAACTGGTTTCAGCTTGGTGAAATTCTTTAAAATGAAAAATATTCATACCATTTGACTAAGCATCCGTATGTCTATAATTTTTATAAATGAATACCCCATTTAGCAATGAACTGATGTGAAATCACTGGACTTTTTCTCAAAATGTAATGCCTGTACATATTATCAGTTTAAAGAAAAGGGGGTTCTTACAGAGTGTTTTTACAAAAGATTTTTAAACACTAAAGGTGATCAATGATGAGTTTAAAAAACCTTTGGAAAATGTTCAAGTTGGAAAATAATTTTTAAAGAACAGGTGAGAAATTTTCAAATCCTTTTTGTCCCACAGCAGCTCACTTATGGATGATGCCACATCAAAAGTGAGCTGGGTTTGCCATCCACTCAGGAACTGCCAGGAAGGAGTGCAATGGAGTCTCCAATTCAGATGCACTCCCTGAGTGCCTTCTCACAGAACTGGTCTACACTCGGATCGCACAGTTAGAGCTCAGAATAGAATCAATCATGGACTCTTTACTTCTATTTAAACGGTCCTTCTATGAAAAAGAAGGGACTCATTTTTCACAAAGGAATGGCCTCTTGCTTTACACAGGGAAATTAATTTTGTTCTTACTAATCCTCCATGCTTTCTCTCAATAGTAACTTGTCTTCACAGAGGTCTCACTCAATAAGGAACCAATCAGGACTCCTTTTCTTTGCTCTTGGAGGTCTAATCTTCACTCTGGCCCTAATCTCTCTGGCCCATTACTGTTGCCATGGTTACAGCTTCTGTTGTCATGGAGAAGAGGAGTTGAATTTGCCACACTCTAACATAAGACTTTTTTTTTTTTTTAAAGAACCTCTATAAAAAAAAAATTATCATAGCAGTAGTAAGAGGTAATTTCTGAAAATAATATAAATGGGAAGAATAGATAGTTTTGAAACAAAAAGCTAAGAATAACATTTGTATGATGTCGCTGCAATAGCCTTGGTAATAATTATATTATTAGGTGAATTATTCTATGAAGCTACATTTTGTCTAGATACCATAGACTTTTGTTCTGTCAAATCTTTAGTATGTTGTTACATGAATATTAATTTATATCTGTGCTAACAACAGTGCCTGACCTCTACTTCTATGAGGCATATGAAAGATGATAAAATGTATTCACAAAAATCACAAAAATATTTAATTTGCATTAAATATCAAACAACCAATAGGCTTTTTCCCACAGTCACTCCCCATGTTGTTAACTGAAGTGCTATCAGTGTAGCCAGCAGGTCAGCTAGATGCTTTCTTCCATGCATCTCCTTATTATCTTGAAGATTTAATAAAAATAAGATATAACTAGATTAGTGATGTGACAGGAACATTTAATTGTCTTAAGAGCAAACATTTATTTGATTTTGGCATTTTTTCCCCTTTTATTTATTTATTTCTTTTTTGTGCTCTTTTGACACCAAACTCTAGCTTTTAATGGTCTAATGGGAAAGTAGATAAAAATTAAAATTTTGGTTAAAGTTTTTATAGTTTTAAACTTAATTTTACAACCTTACCAAAACAAAGTGTGGCTGTTTATATTTGTAGACAACAAAAT